CCCTATACATTTTACATGAAATCATTTCTGATTTGGATAATAATCCTACCATACGATGGTTAATATTATCAAAATTGATTTCTGTGAAATTTGTAGAGTGACGTTTGTAGAGTCAGATATTCGTAATACCCATGTCCATCTAGTCACTGTCAGTGTGCAATCTTTTAGGCAGTGTGTTATAGAATAATGGGAGCTAAAAGTTTGTAAAAGTAGAGAGTTACTAGTTTGAATCTGGTGTTTATATGTTCCTGTATTTGACATACATGCTGAATGTGTAACCCTGTATCTCTAAATATGTTGTGCTTCACAGGACGAAATCACCAAATACAACACAGAATTGCTTCACTGGGCAATGGAGTTATTGAAGGAATCTTGGAAAACAGAAAGTTTTCCCATACCTGACAACATGAGGGCGCCATTTATGGGCATTGTTGCGTTACCGGAGACCAAGAAGGGCCCAATAATGAACACGGATGCCAGAAGCATTCCTCAGCTAGTGAAGATTATATATGAAAAATACAAAGTTTATGTTGTTATTGTATATCACCAGGAACGTCTCTGGTGTCGAGTGTCAACTCACGTTCACAACACAAAAAGAGATTACCTAAAACTTAGAGATGCTGTGTTAGATATGCTAAATAAGTGCTAAATTTGGATATCAAAAGCTATAGAAAATAAGAAATGTGTGAAATCTTATTAGGAACCACTACTGTGATTTAGGGGTTGTATGCTAATTGTGGAAGGGCTTATCAATCATTTGACGTATTGTATATGCAAACGGCATGTCAAGTTTGAATCATATTGTATGCAAAATATGGCATGATCTATGATCTATGAATTGATTACTAATTATGACAGGTTTTTTTATCTTTTGGTAAGATTGTATGTTTCATGTTCTACATATACGTAATACTCAAATAATACGCATACTAGTATTATTGGGATATTGTATAGTGTATGTGCTTTGTAATGAGACTTCGAGGCTTATCCACGAGACGAGAGACCTGGTAATCACGTGATCCGTGTCGACGGTTACAAGCATTGACGGATAATATGATTACTTTATCATGCCTAGATATTTTACAGATATGCAAGACTCTTATGATTGAGTTGCCAACCTACACCATTAGTGTGGGTTGGTTTAGAAATAAAGCTGAACTATCTCTGTGTGTGTGACAAATGCACTTTTTACACCATCAGCACCTAAAGAAAAGAAAGCGACTAATAATAATGAAATAAATGTCGGAAACTTTTGCCTGGCACAAAACACATTAAAAAAATAATGAATGTTTTTGTTAAACGAGCAACTGAGAACAAAATTCGATCCTGTCTGTGAATCTGCAATTACACACAAGACGATAATGACGTGCTTCAATCTGGTAAAATATCTGAACTGCTAATTGTGCTTTGTTAACAATAGAATATTCAGAGGAAAACATGTACACGTAAATACCCGTATAGTTATTGGATAAGAACTACGTGTTTTGACGCGGAACAATACATCCACTCATTTGAGCTGTAAAAAAATACAAAAATCTAACCCTGAATTTTAAAATGGAAAAGCACTAAATGTGATTAATTGTTGGTCGTCGTCGTACACTGTAAATCGTGAGAGCACTTTCATGTTGTCCAATAAAACGCACTGTTCGTAATCTTTCTTTGTCTGGCGCCACTTGATTTTGTCTAGGTACTTACTATGATTAAGTTTTCATATTGCAGTATTGTGAATATAAAGATGATTTGTAATTTATTCATAAGAATCTTATCTGCGGTTGCTTCAACAGTTTCGGGGATTTGATAGGGGAACTGGAACATTGATAAGCGCATTCCCTGGGAAATTACCCATACAAATCTCGTTTGTGCCCACTGAAATCATCATCACCTCATTATTTTTCGGCAGAACGAAGAGGCAAACTAAAACTTGTACATGATCTCTGTGGCCACAGCACCACAGTGAAATTATCATAGTTGAACACCACTTTGTAAAATTCTGAAATCAGTATGCAACATCATAGATGATCGTCGGTGGATATGGATTGCCATTGCCATTGTTTATTTCCTGGGAGACTAATTACTAATTCTCTATGAGCGGGGAGGGGGGGGGGTATCGGCTGGTATCTAGTGTACGAAATGTGTAGTGTAAGAGCCAATATTTTTAAAACTCGAAAAAAATGAAAAATAAAATCTAAAAAAATAACAGCTTGAAGAATATTTGTTGCTTTTTCAAATTTCGCCAAACACTTACTTTTATTTTACCGCTATAAATTGAATAAATCAAGAAAACTACCAACATTTACTCAATTATTGAATAATTAACGGTTGCCCCGAAAGCACGGCATAGTTGGAGGCAAGGCCTATTCACAATGTGTCAACAACCAATCACATCCCTTGCCTATTTCTTACACTAGATACCAGCCGATACCCCTCGCTCATAGGACTGCGTACAGTTGATTATAGTTCCTGGGCTCCCTGTGATTCAAGTTAAAATAAATCCCCCCGTCTGCATACTATATGGTGATTCATTAAAGATTGTCTCACCTCAGCCATCAATAAAAGTGAACGACCACAACAATTAAATACTATGAGTCATCCCCGTATATATATCCTTATATATAACTTATCAGCACTGAGTTCGAGGAATGATCTCCACATATCTTCACTGAAATCCTTATATATATATATATATATATTGCCACTGGTTGTATGCTGAATTTGATGCAATAATTGACATTGATTGGGTAAGGGATATATTTGTGAGAACCAACGCTGTAGTGATGATTCGCACGTGACTGGCTATAATGATGAAAATAAAGCGACTTTTGTGTTGTGGGAGAGGGAGATCAATGATGTGCTAACATATACTTATGTACTATCGTTCAGGAACATTTAATGTGTTGCTCGTTTTTTTGAACATGTTTGTAACGGCAAGTTCTTTTGATAAATAATCAAACACGTCACCGACCATTTCCTAGAACACTACGTGGATAATCACGCTGTTTGCAACAATTGAATGCTGCTCTCTTTCACTAACCTTTGTATGAAAGTCTATTCATTGCGGTACTCATTGGCTCAGAAATCTGTGACATAGTTGAATTCATAGAGCAGTGTTGTGCCAATCACACCATTAACTTGATCACCAGCATTGAAATCGTATGCCAATCTACCCGGGTGGAACTCGTCGACCAACATGAAAACCTGACGGAATGTTTTGCACCATGCCATTCGACTTGATGGCTGCAATGATAACTTCTGTAGCCCCAATGTCTTTGTGACTGAGGCAGTCACCGACGTAAACATCTCACAATGACCAACCATAGTACGTCCTGCATGGATCCTGCTACCTTTCTCAGTTCCTACTTTATTTTATTTTCCATCATCTTTCTGTCTGGTTCAGTTAACAAATTCTTAAAATTGTCACAGATCTTGCCATGCCCACCTGCATTACTTTAACAGCAGCATGGCGTAACCTTCCACTTCTCACCCATACTAAAGAGGATATGGCAAAGGCAATGTTTTACCGGAAACGCTTGATGCCCCATACCATTTCAGCTCCGCCAACTCCAGTTTCCAATTTCCTCATCACATCTCTGCCACCATCTCCATGTGACCAGTAGCAATCATTTTTGTCGTAATAAGGAACTTTGACCTCTCAACCTAAGACATAATAGTGAGGCTGAACCTATCACTAATAATGGGATGACCTGCTCGAAATGCAGATTCTTCTTCTTTCTCAAATTCTCGACTATCGTTTTAGTGGTGTGCTATTGATAGTGTACAGGATTTCCTAGGTCTGTCACTAATTCCTGCAGGCTTGCCTGTACATATAATGAACTCAGAGAAAAAAGAAGAAACTCGATCAGTAATAACGTCTGCAAGAGGCAAAAATCAACACAGTTACAATCTATACACTACATCAGGACTGCTCATAAGGGGAGGAGTGCTGAATCAACCAAAATTAGGAAACAAAAATCCTCTTCCACTATATCCCAACTATTTAGTGACATTTCCTGGGACAATTTTCTCGCAATGGCACCTGTCTCGCAGTCTTTCAAGTCAAATCCTTTTGCTTCAACATACAAATCTAACAAGTCACCAGGGTCACACAGCTCTGACTGAAGTCTACTCGGACATAAGGGTGTCTGGTCCAACGTCTAGGTCACATGGCC